TTTTAATAAAAAAAATTTTTTTTTTTTTTTTTTTTATCTGCTTGGGGGCTTGCGCCCCCTAGCAGCGGCGCGCATATTTCAGCAGCGGCGCAGGGGAAACACTGCGTCATATGAGAGGCCCCGCCTTACATTTTCCGCCACAGATTTGGGGAAATTGGTACGTGCGCAAAGCATTGTGGGGATTTGAAGGACGCGAAGTCTACCCATGTGCAGCCTCGAAATTACCCCCAAACCAAGGACGCGGCCTCTGTGGAATTCCAAGTATGCTGGAGATTGGAACAGTCCTTCGGCGGCACTCAATGACGTAGTATCCTTGAAATATTGGCTTGGAAGCCAGTTTCCTCGCGATTGAGAAACGGCCTCTGTTTTCCGAATGCCAGAATTATTCTTGCCTCGCTTCTGAAGCAAGTGACTCGGAAGACATGTGCTACCAAGCAAGCGTACTCGACATTGAGAAACACCCATTATCTTTATATACTTTTTCTTTTTTTTTCATTTGACTTTTTCAGCAGATAGATAAACTTTAGCATTTATTATAAGTAGTAGTGACGTTAGTACAAACGACGGTTATTCAAATTTTAATGTCTCATCTTACCTCAATTGATCCTTTCGCTCTTCCTTTGATTTCCTTGAGAGACTGAAAAAAAGAGAACTTTTAAAATCTTTAAAAGTTCACCAGTTAACCAGTTGGAAGAGCTTCTTACCATGTGACCAAATTCTGTCACCAAGTCTCCATTGGGCGAGTCCACGTCCAACACTTTACACTCATCGCTGTTGAAGTCGAAGTGACGGAACCTACAACGACATCAGGCTAGAGTCTGTCTACGTCCAACAACGTATGAGGAGTTTAAAGATACAATTCATCAATTTATATATAAAATGTTAAATTGTTTTGGTACCCTCTACTTACCATTTAACCGTTTTGATTTCTTCAACATCCCTAATTTTCAGGGAGAACAATATGCAAAAAGATTGATAAGAAAATAACAGGTAAAGGGTTTTCTTTATCATAAATAATACTGCATTATAATAATATCTCAGACAAGTTTTCTTTAACTTACTTGTCAAATACAGGTTTGACTTTGAGCAGGCACTTGAATTCTGGAAGGTTTGCCAAGAACCTGAAACGACAAATAAAAAAACTAAAATACTAATGAAGAATGATGTTCAAAAAAAAGAAATTGCTGTGAATCCAGGGTCACGTCGCTGCCGTCTACTAAAAAAGGAGCAATCTTAGTATTTTATTCTGAAAATATTAACGTTGCTTTATTGTCACAAACACATCTCATCACAACTCTGTGATGGCTTGTTGTTTCATGACTAGCCTAGAAATAAAAATATGTCCCCACATGAACAGACGCTCTCTCAGTGGGTATAGTGGCTGGTTCTAAAGTAGTATCTTCTGCCCATTCTTTGGTCATCTTCTTATTTGTTCATTTAATTTTCTTATTTTTAAATAGCCCTCCCATCCACTGGCAAACACTCACAATAACTCAACCCAAGAGAGTGCAGAAACAAGTCCTAAAACCCAGAAACTGTGACCTAGTAGATTTTCACATTTTGCTCTCGGACATAAAATACGTCAGTAAATACCTTACCTGTGAATGTCCAAAGCTTCTATGTGTTATAAAAACTGCGTAACAAGTATAAACAAGTAACTCAAATTAACGACTAAACGTCAGCCTTCAGCTTAGCGATTGTGATGCGCAGCCATGTGACTGATGTAGTTTGTTTATAGCCTAGCATCAGCTTTTTAATTCTGACGATTGCATTTACGCTTCAAAAATCAAAGTGGTGTTATTATTAAGGGTGCACCGAATGGGAAATTCTTGGCCGAAACCGATACCGAAAATAGGAAACAGTTGGCCGAAAACCGAATGCCGAAAATGATTAATAGAAATATATATATATATATATATATATTATATAATATTAATAAAAATATATTTTTTACAGCCGCGGTTGTTGTATGGCACTTTAACTTAAAATAAAATCAACTATATTGGTCCATAAAAACATTTATTAAGCACTTTTGAAAGCATACAGTACCATTAATTCCAAGTCAATGCTTTTCTTTTCTCTGCGTAGGATAACTACAACAAGTGCATTCAGCAACAAAGCCAAGGTGTTTAAAACTGTCATAAACATCTAGGCCCAGTAGGCCTAACAACAAATAATAGTTAAATAAAGACTGTAACAGCCAGGCCTTCCAACGAACAACAAAATGCACCTATAAGTTGGTAACTAAACGTTTTGTTGTGATGACGAATCAAAAACGCAGGCGAGAAGCAAGGCGCGCGACCATGCTCGCGCCTGCTCAACAGCGACATGTCTGGCCTTGGAGATATTAAAAATATCAGAGAGAGAGGGCGCGGATGCGATTTGTAAAACGATGTTCAGCTGACATTTCTCGAAGAAAACCTGCAAAGACTTTCACCACTTCGGGATTACTCACCACTCTTGAATAATCAAAACACCCGGCAAATAAGCGGAGTATGAAATCAACGTAACCCTGTTCTTTTGACATTCGTGAT